CAGCCGGGTATCTGTTCCCTAAGAAACCCAGGCAGGCCCACGCGAGTTCCTCAGCCATCGCCCCTTCTCTCTCCCTCCATCTCTGCTGCCCTGGTGCTGACTCTCTCATCTGGCACTGGTTTCTCGACTGTCATCAGCTCAGAGAATGGGAGACTCTGGGGAGACCTGAGGCTCCCCCAGCCCGAGTTCCCTGCAGGAGCCCCTCCTCCAGCCCCCTGGCCAGTGTCTGTTTCTCTGGGGGAGTGAGGCTTAGAGGAGTGGTGCAAAGCCAAAGCAACCTTTTCTGTTTAAAGATTTAAACTTTCAATTTTTAAAAAAGTTGTAAGCCAGGCCAGCATGGCTCCGTGGTTGAGCATCAGCCTATGAACCAGGAGGTCACGGTTCGATTCCCAGTCAGGGCACATGCCTGGCTTTCGGGCTTGATCCCCAGTGTGGGGCGTGCAGGAGGCAGCCGATCAATGATTTTCTCTCATCATTGGTGTTTCTATCTCTCTCTCCTTTTCCCTTCCTCTCTGAAATTAGAAAAAAAAAGATATTTTTTTTTAAAAAAAAAATGGAGGGAAATGGGGGGCATCTGTACAAAAATAAAAAAATTTTAAAAATAGAAATAAAAAAAGAATTAAAATTTTTTTATTATAAATGTAATATTCATGGAAACGGGGGTGGAGGAAGCTCCTTAAGTATAACTGTAGTTATTCAGTAGTGAAATGCATAGCAGAGATAGAGCACGTGTGTGACTAGAAAACATGGCAGTGGCTCGCAAGGTTAACAAGCAACATGCCATTTTATTATTCCAGGCGGCCTTGCTTAATTCTTATGCTGTGCTCATTCCACACAGGGTTTTCCCATTTTTTAAAAAAATTTATTGATTTTAGAGGTGGGGGGAGAGAAACATCGATTTGTCGTTCCACTTATTGAGATATCCATGGTTGATTCTGGTATGTGCCCTGACTGGGGATCGAACCTGTAATCTTGGCATATCAGGACGACACCCTAACAACTGAGCTACCCAGCCAGGGCGAGGTGAAACCTTTTTCTTTTTTTTTTCTTTTTTTTAATATATTTTATTGATTTTCTTACAGAGAGGAAGGGAGAGGGATAGAGAGTTAGAAACATCGATGAGAGAGAAACATCGATCAGCTGCCTCTTGCACACTCCCTACTGGGGATGTGCCTGCAACCAAGGTACATGTCCTTGACCGGAATCGAACCTGGGACCCTTCAGTCCCCAGGCCGACGCTCTATCCACTGAGCCAAACCGGCCAGGGCTGAAACCTTTTTCTTGATCTTGGAATCTGATATACATTAGAATTTTGAGCTTGCAGATCACTCCTGTATGAAGGACAGATTTCTATCTGCTCCAAGAACAGCCACTTCGTTTTTGTGATGTAGTTCTTCGGGCACATTCACTTCCACTTTTTCTGTCCGGTCTCAGTGGTGTCTCCGGTTCCTGAGAGGTGACTCATGATGACCTTGGGAGCTCCCCCCTGAGAAAGCCAGGCCCCCTGTGTTCTGAGGCAGGTGGAGAGGATCCGGCGCTTTCTGGCCATATTGTTTACTCGCTGTTTCCCTTTTTAGGAGGATGAGACGAAGCCGGAAGACTGTATACCAGATGTGCCAGGCAATGAGCATGCCAGGGAATTCCTGGCTCACGCGCCAACCAAAGGGCTTTGGATGCCGCTGGGGAAGGAGGTCAAAGTTATGCAGTGTGAGTGTGCAAGCGCGTCCGGGACTCCCGAACACACGCAGGTGACACCACGGTTCACAAGGCGTGTTTTTCTTTCATTTAACGTGTTCTCCTCTCAGCGCTGTCAGAGTCCTGGCATGATCTCTGCTCTGCAGATTGACTTACACGTGTCAGTACGTGGTCCCAGGTAAGAGGCGGAGCCAAGATGTGCTCCAGGCTTCTGTCTCCACGGGCAGTGGTCCTCCCACAGGGCGGGGCTGCCTTTGGAGGACACTGGCTGGCTGTGTCCCTGCCACAGAAAGGACCTTCCGCGGTGGAAATGCCTTGGAGGGCAGGTCCCTCTGGGTCCTGCCTCAGTTAGTCCCCCTCCATCGTTGGTGGTAAGGTTTCTCCAGGTTGCCTGAGAGGGGCTACAGGCCACAGAGGGTGGGTTGGGACAGGTAGAGCTCTGCGTGCGCACCCCCCACCCCACCAGGGCAGCAGCGCCTTCATCCAGCACAAGATGGCATTTGAAGAAAGGGTGCTGAAGCCTTTTTTTTTTTTTAATATGGCTTTTATTGATTTTGGAGAGAGAGAGAGAGAGAGAGAAACATCAATTGACTGCCTCCTGCAGGCCCACAACCCAGGCATGGAACGGTGACCACCTGGTTCATAAATCGATGCTCAACCACTGAGCCACACTGTCCAGGCCCAAATTCACTTTTGAGTAGAGATTGGTAACTGGATCTCACTGTAGGGTGGAGTGTCCGGGCTGCTTAAGAGGTAACACAATGTTTATTTTATTGCTGTAAACAGCTGCTGAGATCAGTATCTCCAAGCCTTTCTCATCAGGCTGGTCAGTCTTTCAGAGGAGAGTTTCCTGCTGAGGGCCAAGGCCTCGTGCTTGGTTCTGGGAACTGCTTTGAGGAGCGAGGCTGTGAGCCTGAGCCTCCCCCCATCAGCCATCCATGTCCTCTTCCTTCCCGCCCTTAACAATCCCCTGGCCTCCCCCACCCCCCAGTGTCTTATGTCCATTGGTTATGCTTATATGCATGCATACAAGTCCTTCGGTTGATCTCTTACCCCTCATTTTTTATTCATTTTTAATATTCTGAAGTTTATTCATTCAGTATTATTGTTTTGTGAGTTTGGATTATTTCCAGCAATTTGCTGTTTTGTTTTTTATATATATCTTAATTGATTTTAGAGAGAGAGGAAGGGAGAAGAATAGAAAGACAGAAACATTGATGGGCTGCCTCCCACACCCCCCCTCCTGGGGATCAATCCCACAACCCAGGGATGTGCCCCCATCAGGGATCGAACCAGTGACCTCTTGGTTCATGGGTCAGTCGTCAACCACTGAGCCCCACCAGAGCTGGCCTTAGTGGCTTTTAAAAGAAGCAAAACCAGAGAGCTTGTTCTCCCTCCCCACTGTGTGAGGACATGGCCGTCTGCAGCCAGGGGAGCACACTCATCGGAAACCGACCCTGCTGGCACCCGATGGCGGACTTCCCGTCTTCGGCACCGTGAGAAAACAAGTGTCTGCGTCCTGTTATGGCAGCGGAGCCGACCCTGAGACACCGCCATTCTGCAGCTTCCCTAGCCTCTTCCTGTGCTGGAGCTCCTCTGTCCTGGGTGTTGAGTCATCTTCTTGGTTGTTGCATTCTCTTGTTATGGTGGAGCGCACCCTCCCACAGCTTCCTTTGAAATGGGCTTATAGGAGATAACATTTTCAAGGCCTTCATTTACTGGAAAACATCTTTATTTGACAGATATTTTTAATTTGCCAGGGCATAGAAGTCTGGGTTAAAAATCAATTTTCCTGATATTATATGTAGAAAAACCTAATGATGCTGCAAAAAAAACCCACACTGTATGATTTCACGGATGTGAGGTACTTAAGGTAATCCCATTCATAGAGACAGAAAATAGAATAGTGATTGCTGCCTATTCACCGGGTGGGGGGCGGGGAATGGGGAGTTGTTGTTTAATGAGAATATAGAGTTTCAGTTTTACAAAGGAAAAGAGTCATGGAGAGGGAGAGTGTGATGGTAAATGTTATGTATATGGGCCGACCTCATTTTATTGCGCTTGCTTTATTGCGTTTCACAAATGTTGGTTATTTACTGACTGAAGGCAAGATGCTCCACTTGCAAAAACATTACGACTCACTTTATTCTTATGGTCTGGAACCGAACCCATAATATCTCCTAGGTCTGCCTGTATTTTTACCACAATTTTTTTAAAATTTAGAAAAGTTCAGTGTGGGGTGTGGCTACAGTGTCTTGGCCAGGTTCAAGCCTCAGACTAATGAAAGGACAGGGTCCTCTCATTGCCACGTGCAAGTCCCAGCTGGAGGGCAGGGCCCTCCCAGCACAATCATAGCCAACGGCTGTGGTTGTGAGCTTGAACCTATGGTCCGAACACGTGGCCCCACGTGCCTTGTGATAGAGTTCGGGTGCATGTAGTTGAGTGAGGTTGAAACTCA